ACACTGAGAGCCAAACCTCTGGGCAGCATAACCTCACCAAGAAAACGTCTACCACTGATTTGGAACGCAGCGCAGTTGCACCAACAGCGGGGTCATCAGCAGAGCACTTGGATACATCTGTTTCCAATGCTCAACCCTGCGCCACTGCTCCGGAAGGAACTGTTGATATTACGCAGCCAATATCAAGCGATCACAGACCTTCAGAGGACCGACAATTGGCCAACGCTGTTCTGGATGCTATGCGTCAGCAGGTGCAAATGCAACAGCAGCAGTTTCTGGAGCACAAAATGCTGCAGCAGCCACAGATGTATCACTACCCAGAACTGCCACTGGCGCCCCAAGGTAGGACTTTGCCCAAACAAAATTATTTAGATTATTATGTTTTAAAAACCTCATTACCATAAAATTTCTAAATATTTAAAAAAGTCGTTCAGTTTGAATATTTGTATTTATTTACTTACCTAAGTCAAACTCCTATTTTCAGAGACGCAAATGGCCGCAGATCAGGGACCCTACGGCAGCTGCCCCAACGACAGTATGTTCTACGAGCAGCAGGAGTTCTGCAACTATTTGGGTCTCACTGAACTGGCCACGGCCAATGCAGTAGCTACTGCTATGAGAGAGCTGGCCAACAGTACAGTGGCCCGCCGATCGCTGCGGGTGCGACCCCAACAACAGCTGGATAGGATGCGTAGCGATGTGCGTGGCAAGAGGCGGGAGAGAGAACGACAGCAGGACAAGGACAGGAAGATACCACTGACCACCAGCAGTGAGCTTAGCACCGATAAGGAGGAATCCTCACCACATCAGATAGCTGAATCCGCTCCAGTAGTGGATGATGAGATGAGTTTCAACAAACAGTTGCCTGCAGAGCATCAGCGCCAGTTTAATCACTTTTACGACTATTTCCGGAAAGAGGGAGATCGGCCGGCGCTCAAATCCCCCACAGAGCAAGAACGACCCAGATCCCGCAAGCTACTAGGGTCGGAAAGGTCCTCAAAGGAGAAAGAGATGTGCCAGTCACCCAAAGTACAGAAAGAGCAACATCAAATATCTCCCAAGAAGTACGATGATCACAAGGAACAAGTAGAAAACAAGGAGCCTGAGCATGAACGCGTTCTCGCCGTTGAGGCGGCCTTCGCTAAGATCTATGATGCAGCCGCTCCTGCCCAATCCAAGCTGCTGGAGAGCATGCAGCAACGCTTGCGCCAGGCGCGCGAGACTAAGCCATCAATTTATATCATCAAGGCTACCAACAATGCACCGCCACAGACACCATCGCCGTGCAGACACGAGTCTCGCATCTCACCGCCACCCACCCACTTTGTCGAGGGTTTTGGTGATGTAAGAGCACCGCGACCTTCCGCAGTGACATCTGGATCGTTAAGGACAAGTCTTCCGAAGACTAGTCCAGCTAAAGATTCACCATCTCCAGCACCCCTACCTAATATTGCAACTGAGTCTCCAAAAACACCCAAGCATAGGAAAACCCATGGAGTTACCAAAGCTGTAACTGCCACACAGCGGCGACGCACTACCGTAGGAGCTCCCAGCTCAGGAAAGCACGCACGCGTACGCGATCTGGTTACCCGATCCACCACGCACCTGAATTCAAAGCTACTGCGGAACCGCAAAGTCAGTTTGCTCAAGAGCTACGCCCTTTCGGATGAAATGGCTCAGGGACGAGCCAAACGGCTAAGCGGCGGCACAGCACAAGGTGCCAAAAGGGTGCAAATGCCCAAGAATGTAAGGGCAACTTTAAAAAGACCCGAACCGGCAGAGAAAAGTCTTCCCGAACAGCATCGCCTGCAGCAGCAGCAATTGGCCCCGCCGAACACACCCCGCAAGATGAAGAATGTCAAGGAGAATTCCCCAGTCACGACAAGTGCAACGAAAGCTGTTAATCGCCTTACTAAGCGCACCAAACGGGCGCGTGCCAAATCAATGCCGGCTAATCTTGAAACGGTGCCCAAGGACGTTCCAGCCGCCGTTCCCACTGCCACAGTGTTAAGAATGACGGAGTTGATACGAGAAGTACCCCAAGCTCGTATAGATCCCCCTAAGCATACAGTTGACGCCGCTGCCGCAGAAGCTTCAGACCTAATCCACGTTCATTCCCCTTCCACCGCTCAATCGCCTTATGCACAGCCCGTGCTTATTTACCCGCCCTTGCCCTTATCCCCGCCATTAAATTCTATGGTTTCGGAGCCCCGTCGCCCCCGCCAACAAGCCGGAAATGGAAAACCTTCTGACCCAGTCCTCGCCACTCCACCTGGCGGCCTTCTGCGGCTCAGCGAGGGTTCCTCGACGCTAGCGAATCCACTTTCCGCCAAGCATGGTCAGGTTTTGTACATGTACTACGAACTGGAACAGCTCATTGTGCTGCAGGAGAACTGTATAACCTTCTGGAAGTACTCCAAAGTGTTCAATGTGCTGCATCAACCGCGACAGCAACCCTTCTTCGATGGTACCAGAAAATCGCCCGCACCACAGCTCCATCAGCCACATCCCCGCGACTCCAAGGACACAGAGCAGGAGCAGGATGTTGGACCGCGATGGGTGTATCTGGGGAGAGTGCGGCGCCTTACTAGCGGTAAGTTGTGGATTTGGGAGTGACTGCACGTACCTTTTTATCATTCTTTTTGATTCATTACAGAAAAGGAAATCTTTACGCCCTTTGGCAGCCGTATTTGCGTGCACAACTCCACGCCGGTGTACCTCGAAATGCGAAGCAGGCCGCTAGACCATCACAAGCGAGAAGTGAAACTAACATCGCTTCACGTGAACGTGTACTACTTCTGTGAGGAGGAACTGCGGCCTCGGATGCACTCTGTGCACTTGGACGCTGTCAACTGGTAAGTCGCAAAAGAATGTCCTTAAAAATAGCTTGATTTAAGCACTTCGTTCATCCCTTAGCGAGTGGTCTCATGTCATATATACAACCATTGCGGAATCGCGATATTTTGTTATGGCATGGCAGCAGGAACTGGTGATGGGCAAGCCGCGCTCGGGCATCTGCAAATACTCGCTAACGCCCACTTTAGATACGCTGGCTTCCATTCGGGAGTTTAAGCAGCTGCGCCACGAACTGCGTCACATCGAGTGCCTTTCCGAAGACCGTCTGATCGGCTATGGACAGACGCGAATCACAGTGTGGGACCATCGCAGTGGTGACACTCTGATGAACTACGATTTGGGCCGTCCTCTGGGCAGGTGCCTAGCCGCCTTGCACTATCCCAGTCTCGATATGGACCAAAGCAGCATGCTGGTGCTGTACCAGCTTCTTAAAGAGCTTAACAAGCCGGGTGAAGTGCATGTGATCGCCTGCGAGCTATCTCATGCCACGCCCTCGCACCGCTTGCTCCAGGTACACCGCCTACCATCGCCGCAATTTGATGAAGCAACGGAGGCCGTTAACACCGGGGACCATCTGATTATCAAGTCTGCATCGAACGACGAGGTCTGGATAAGTGCCGCTGATCCGAGACAGCTCACCTATTTGGCGCCGCAAAGCAATGGAGCGCAGCGGTTTTATGCCCGCCACAAGTCCCAGGTGATAGAGATGTCCCCGCAATCGCTGACTGTAGATAGCATCGCCAATCACATGTTGAAATTGGCTGTCCAGCAGAAGCACTTGGTGTAGACATGTAACAGTGAACTTTGAAAGAGCAGAGTCCAGTGAGCCAGTTTTTTGTTTTCTCACCCTAATCCTTGTTGAAAATCACCCACAAGACACGAAACGAACAACGCCTTTATTGTAAACTGTCAGAACCCAAAATATGCTTCTGGCTGTCCGCCCAAAACATGTAGTTCAAATATATTCGAAACTATAATAGGTTGCGTTATAAACCCTGTAGTCCTTACCATCATTATCATTCAATAATATCGATATTTCCCCTAAGTCTTAAGTAAGTCACACCCGTTTAGCCTTTAATATGCTATGCGCTATCATTGAATAAGTGTTTTTGTTTCCTTGGTTCTTTTTTATTTTTTCTAAAAGAAAAACAAAACCCTAGCATAAGTTATCATAGACCTAATTATGAATTCAAATATTTACTACTATCAACTGCAGCAGTGGATGTGTCATATTTTTAGTTCAAAGAAAACACCAAAATGGAAGGAAATTAATGTCATTAAAAGGAAATATGTTTAAAAATACGATGTCTCTCTTTTTGGTTATGCACAAAAGTTTCCACATTTCAGAAATCTGTCTTCGCTACATAATTTTATGCAAAGGAGGCGATCGATTTCTGTCAGTAACGTCAGCCAACCTAAAATATTGCGCCTAGTGATATCACAGATATGTATCTATCAACCATTTTCCATTTTATAACGTGGCTTTTTGCAACTGTGCATAAAAACAGTTTGAGTCTAATTTCGGGATCACCCGCCTTACTTATTGACCTTGAAACCAGCGAAAAAGCATTAAAGACCGAACCATTGGAAATTCTTAAATATAATCCCTACGCCCAGGTGTACACAAACGAATCTGAACTGTGCTCAGATGAGAGTACTGCGGATGTGGATGATAAAAAACCGATCATGGAAAGTGAACCCATCACCGCCCTTGCACTGGACACAAGGCTGGAACCTGAAATCACACAACCAGAATCGGATTTGGACATCATGGGGAGTATCCTGTTGGCAATAGGATTACCTGTACTGTTGCGCGAAGGATTCTCCGTATTAAGCAGCATATGGAGGACAAGAAGACGGGAATTTCACAAGGTTGATTTAAAACAGAAGGCCATCCTGGACGTTAAGGAGCTAGCAGAAGCAGAGGCAGAGACAAGAAACACATTTAGGTTTCAGCCAGACGGTGAATTGACCTACACCATGGACCTACAATTCACAGTTCTCAGCGATAGGGCCTGTGTGGAGCAACCCAAAGAATACGGCTGACATATAAAATACCTCTACTTGGATAAATTTATATTTGTTGTGTTCATCTTCTCTTCAGCGTTTGCTTCGTTACTTCAAGTTTAATAAAAAGAATATGGTTTTGGTTTCATTCATTACTTGTCGTATATTTTAGACTATTTTTTTTGTATAAGAACTAAACAATTTCAACTACTCTGTTGTCGATCATACCCGACGCGCTACGTTATAAACTAATTTTTCTTAAAATTAATCATTAATTAGTTTTTCCTTAGTTGCTATTTTCTAACTTTTTTATATACACAAGTTTTACTTACACGAAAAAGTAAAATCCGTCTAAAAAATTGTGAGGTGGACCAAATATACAATCAGAATGAACGCGAATGTGGATATCGGATGCTATTCGGTAATCATATTGCCACTAGGAAGCCAATTGCTAGCCTGAGAACCAACCACGAAATGCAAAGATCCCTAAACTGAGGAGCTCAAAAACTCGCGGCCTTAAATCGTGCTTACATGTCTAATAAAGTACAAGAATTTCAAATTTAGTTACGATCGCTTACTGTACAGGTTACGAATATAGAAAATATATCTCTATTTTGGCGAGAACCATTTCAGGGAGGTAAGTAGCCCCAAAACACTAGTAAACACTGAGGGCGCACCAGCAGCAGCAGTCCACTACAACTCCTTCTCCGGCTTCTGTGTTGCCGCCACTGTTTGATTTTGCCTCTGCGCCTTGGCCAGTTGCCAGCGTTTGAACTCCACCATCTGCATGACGCGAACGCCCAGCGGCTGATTCCGTCGCTGCATCACCGCCGACAGCTTGCCGAACTCCACGCTGTACATGAAGACGACCGGAATGAGCACATCGTCCTTGCCGTCGCCGGACATTGCGAACATCGGCTGCGTCTCGCCGGAAGAGCTCGGTACATTATCACAGACAATCAGCGCTACAGCCCCCACCTTCTGGGCAAGTCGTGCTTTGCTCACGAACGTGCAATCGCCGCGCTCGGCCACCAAGATCTTTCCCTTTGCCTCGTCGGCATTCTCCAGCTTCTCGTCACAGGCCCGAAACGGCTTGGCCAACATCACATCTCCCTCGACGAACTGGTCGCCAATCAACTCTGGGCTAAAGTGCGATGGCCCGGCCATTAGGGCAATCCAGTCCTGAGCCTTCTCGTCGGTGGCATAAGCCACGGCCTGCAAAGGAGAGTGATTAAAATTATTTGAATAATTCACTTTATTATTTAATAAACAAACCTGCAGTTGCGCCAGCTGATTTATGCTTTGCATTTTGGTCAGCTCAAGCATCTCCTGCATAAATTGCAATCCCATTTCGCCCTCCTCGTGGCTCTTGGCCTGTATAAAATCAAACTTTTTGAATTTTGTTCGGTGATCTGTATGATGATGATGATGAGGAGAAGGAATAGGAGGAAGCGGAAGAACCAGGAAACAGGTGGTACAAAGGTTACCACTCAGAGTGTCAAACGAAATGCAAACGAAACCAAAAAGCAGAACAGAAAAAAACTTACATTATAGAAACTATGAAACAGTCGCACCTTGCCTTGGCTGCGGTCGCCTATTGAAACCATGGTAATGCCCATGTCGTAAACAGCTCGAAGATGATCTGCATTGCTTGCCTGAAAGTCCAGAGCACTGAGACGCTTTCCTGCGGTGGTGCGCGGGCACGAGCCCGATATGAAGTTGCGCAGTGGTTTGCGTACCTTTTCAGGAAAAAGCTTATTTGAGCTGGGGCAGGTGCGCATGAAGTCGAGTACATTGTGTTCGTCCGACTGCCGAAAGCCTGTAAAAAGAATGAATTAATAAAAGGTTCTTACAATAATAGGGCAAAAATTCTGAGGAGTGCAATCAAAAGATGTTCCCCTATGTATATATTTTCCCCTAACGATAAACACATTTGACCATTGCTCTAAGAGGAATGACCTTATCAATCCAAACTTCAAAAGATAAAAATTACTTGCTCAAAAATTGCTTTTTTATGGCGCAAATAAAATATTTCTTGTTAAGCTCCCCAAGTGCTCTTATTTACGAAAAAAGTACAGATAAGGGTACTTATTGATTTTAAAGCAGCAACAAACTGATTTTACTTATCATAATGAAATAGAATATGTCCAAATAAAACTAGTTATTAGACCCTCTATAAACTTAGTTGTACACCAGGAAAATACTTACTAAACGTGGCATTCCCTAGTTGTGCAATAGACAGCGGGAGCAAATGAGCTTCGGTTGTGAAGACAAACTCATCGACGTTGATGATCAGATCCTGGGGATCGGAGAACAGGAGGAACAGGTACTTAATTGTCTCGGAGAGCACAAACGAGTCCATCCGATCCTCGTGCTTGCCAGTTCGCACATCGTTGACTGCCGCATAGCCGCAGGAGACCTTGGCGTACTGCTGGAGTGTTTTCAAAGCCCGCTTGCCAACCTGAAGATAGTGATGATCGCCAGTGGCGCGGTACAGGAAGTATGTGGACTCAATGAACTCGGGCCGCAGGGGATGCTGTCCCCAATGTATTTGGAAGTCCACGGTAAAAGCTTCTGGAATGAAGGTGTGCATTTGCATAACCTGCAAGATAAAATAAGAATTGTTTGTAAGCCATAACGTTTTGATTTGTGGCTTTGCAATAAACAAGCCATACCTGGTAGAGCATCTCGTGCGTCTGCACGGCTGGTTTGAGGTCGCCTGAAAGCACCTGCAGACCCGGCCAGAAAGCCAGTAGCGAATCCATGAAGTTCTTGGATTTTGCGTGCGGCCTATGCATTAGCACGTCCAACAGCATGGGCCCCTCGCTGACGTACTTCATCACGGCGTTGTAATGGCGGTTGAAGCGGGCCAGGTACTTGTCGTCGCCTAGTAGGACGTACGACTTAAACAGGTACTCATAGTAACTGTCGATGCCGGCGCCGACTCCGGAATCCCGACGCACCCAGTCGCCGGAATGGACATTGAGCACTGTGCCCATGAGGTCGGAGCCCCGGTGTCTGAGCTTCCACAGCGCGTCCATGGCAGCGTGAGCTCTCACCTCGAATATGGGATCGCCAGTGAGCCGTGACAGAGCTGCGAATTCCAGTAGGATGGTTCCTGCACACGCAGTACACGTCTCTCTGGACTTCTTGAGCATTGGGTCCTTCATGCCCAGACGGAGATTTACCCGTGCATGCGGAATGCCTGTTGACGTGTTGAACGCCGGAAGCAATCGGTAGCCCAGCTCGCGGGACAACTCCAGCAGCTCGCCCTTGTACCAATGCATCGTGTCCGCATGCTTTTGCAGATACTCCGCCAGGATGTGGGCGGACAGCAGGCCACCGACCATTCGAATGTTGGTCTCGAACACCGACACAATAATGTCGCTGTCGAATTGCACGTCGCGGATAACAAGCTTTACGGCGTGTTCAAACTCAGTAAAATCTCCCAGTAGCACCAGGGTGTCTAGAGTGTCCACCAGAGTCATGGAGAAGCTAAAAACAGTATATAAATATTCCGTCTGAAAAATAATTAATTTTAACTCACTTTCCGAGGATGTCGTCCATGTCGCCACGCGAGGGAGTTACTCCGCGATAACGTCCTTTGCAGGAGAGCGGCATCAGCTCGTCGGCTGGGTAGGCGTTTTCCATGTAGGCGTTATATGCGTGATAGAACATATCGCGAGCCTCTTCCCTGAAAGCAAAATATAAGTAAAAATGCAGATAGCGTGCAAACTAAATTAAAGGATTTCAATGATTGAACAAATTATTTCTTACTAATGTTAATGAGCATGTTAAAAATAAATAAGGTCAACAATCTGAGACTTATACACTCAAGCAGCTTTATTAAAAATATATATATTTTTATATAAAAGTCACAAAAATCCTGAATTTGTATACAACAACCATATTTACAATTATAAAATCGTGTTATGCTAATTTAACCCGGTCATCCCTAATGCAGCTATGGGTTATTGCAAATTAAATTCTTAATATCCTCATGTGTACATTTTTGTATACACATACAGACGAAAAAGCGGACTATCCTGGTTTTGCTGATCAGGATTCACATCTATACTCTAAAGACACTAGGTACTTTCGCCACACACAGATGGGATTCACATACCTGAGCTCAGCCCGCTCCTTGTGGGACATGTTTTGCGTGGGCATGGTGGTTTCGGTGCTGAGGACGCATGCCACCAGGATGCAGAGGGCCACCAGGAAGGTGAGCATCAGCCGCTGGCCAGGAGCCAAGGATGCTGCGGATGGGGTGGTGGCGGCGGCGGACATAGTGCTGGCTATCTGGATACTACGACTGCCGACGATGGTGACGCTGGATCGCTTTGTCGTTCGGTTTCGGCCGCCAGACTTGCCGCTCGAGTCGTTGTGACGTTGACCTTCACTTTGAACGTGTGCTGTTGAAACGTTGGTAAGTTGGTAGGTTTGGATTTCGACGTTTCTCTTCGCCGCCTCTTTGTTGACTCCGCTTTGGGCCCGTGGTCCGCTCGATTTGGCTCTTTTAAATCAGCGACTGCAGCTTAATTGAAACAGCCAACTCATAATTTAACAAATAATTTCGTTTGAAGGGAAGGGGCAGCCAAAATATGTATGCTCACCTCAGCCTCTGCCCGAAATGTCGACCTAGTTTGTTGATTTCGCCCGGGTTTTACGGGGGCCTGGGTCTGGAGAGCCTCAGAATCTCTGCGTCACCTGCTCTAGCGCTTGCATCCTCCCGACCACGACGGCACACATCGTGCCTATTTATAATCTCGTTTGGAATAAGTTTGCCCCAATAACAAAACACCACGACGACTACAAAGCGAACGTCAGAAGGTTACCACTGCAAGGCAGGCGAGCGGAGGGGAACACGGTTCTATTTTCTATATCCAGCTGGGTCTGCTGTTTCTCCGCCGATTGCTGGTGCTTTGCTGGCAATTATCAGATCGCTTATCAACGCAAAAGTCGAGTTTCCTTAATTTTATCACGAAAAAGATTCCCGCAGTATAAGTGTGGCAAGGTGCGCGGGGCCGGAAAATGTGCCCCTTTTTCACAAGTTTGAAATGTTGGTATATTTTTATGTTGAAACAAAAAATACCGCGACGATAAGGAAAAGATATCGACTGACCGATAAAACACCCGCCAAGTTTGAAAACAATGGTTATTTATTTTAAAAATTTTAGACATTACATTGTTTTAGCATAAACGTTACAAAGTCAATTACACAGGCGATATTACAAAAATAACAAACAGCACTCTGCGGTGCCAATCCGGTAAATACATAGGTAAATTTGTAAGGCTCGAGAACTCGACTTCGGATTAGTCACTCAAACGATAAAGACTTCTTACTTTGATAATACCATTAACCATGTTAGAGTTGCACATATGGAAAATTCTTTGTATGATTCGGCTAACAAATAACATATCTAAATAAATTGGTACTAAATATATATAAAGTTATGGGGTGTGTGGGTCGTGGGATCGGCCGATCCGACAGAGCTCTCGTGTGGTTTGGTGAACTCACATCGGCAACAGCGAATGGCTGACACTGCTCTCGTGGGAGACGGGTCGCTCGATGGTCATTGAGGACTGCGGCACCTGGCTGTCTGTGCTGATGCCCAGGCTGGCGTAGATCTCCTTCATAACGAACAGGATCGTATCTTCGGAGCCCCTGTGTTAAAGAAACCCAAATCGTTTAGAACATCTGTTAATCAGTACATAAAGAGGACTACCCACCAATAGCACACATGGCTGCTTAGGGCAAAAATATATTCGTTGATGAACTCCAGAGGCGCTTCCTGGAGCACGTAGTCCACTCGCTTTGAGTCGTTCAGCTTTCCCAGCGGGAAGTCAAGTTCGATAAACTCAGGTTCAGAAGCCGTGGTCGAATTGGAATCGGTGCGATTTCTTAGTTTGTAGGATGAGCTGGCCACAGAGCTCTCGTCGTGATCCTCGTTTTGCTTTTGATGGGCATGCGAAGAAGTCTGACTTGTCTCCTTCTCCAGGGATTCCTCGGCTTCCTTTTTCACCTTCGTCACTGTGGCCAGGAAATTGACACTATCCAGCGTGGTCTTGAATGTGTCCATAAAACGTTGCTTGATATCCGCTCCCACCCGTGTCATTGTCTCCTTAAGCTCCAGGTGCATCCGCTTGCGTCCCTTGTGGTGGGGAATCAATACCGGCCGAATACCACTCATGTCCGGATTCACAAGTGCTTCGATGCGATAGGCCACCGGATCGAAGGGATGGAATATGTTGTAGAAACCCGGACACGTGGGCAGGTGGAAGTCAAGGCCAAGCTTATCGATGCCTCGGATGGTCACAAACATCCCGATGGGCGAGCCCAGAGCGAAAAACTTCTTCGGGTGGAATATGAGTTGGTTGTATGTGATCACTGGTTGACCAGTGCCCTCCGGACCCATCGCGTAGCTGACTTGTTTGGGCAGAAGATCGCTGGTCGGGAGCTGAACCTTTAGACTGGCCTGCTTCTGAGGCAGTTGGTCGGGATTCTCCTTAATGGATGAATTTCTTGCTTAAAAAAAATATATATTATTGGTGGTCAAAGCTAAACTCACTTTATTCTCCTCCTCGCTTTCCTTGAGTGGCTCCTGATGGCACAGCAAATCGAACAGGATAAGGGAGCCGAGACTGTGTCCTGCCAACGAGACTCCTCCATTGAATTCTGGATGTCGCATTCGGTACTTTATGTAGACGTCGTTAAGTTCATCGGCCACAGTGTTCATGATCTTCTGGCAGTACTTCGGACTGGTGTAGAAGAGCACGTCGAGCAGCGTGTCGTTGGTGAAGTTTCGCAGGCGTGGAATCGACTCCAGAGTGATGGATTTGAGCTTTTCGTCGATGCCCATCTCCTCGGAGTGCAGGTGACCGTGCCAGGATATGGGCAAGACTTCAACGCGACCCACCAGACCCATGTCCGTGGAGTTTTTATAGTGCGACTGAACCAGTTGCTGGGCAATTACCCGGAAGTCATCCACTATTAAATAAAGGAAGTAGTTACATTTTCAAGAAGCCACTGTAAAAACTTTCTATAAAACCCACCAACTTCCTCCACCGATCGCATTTTCAAATCGCAGGCAGATCCAATGCCGTGGACCATGAAAAGCAGGTGATCCACTCGCTGTGATTCGCCCTGTTCGATGGTGAAATCATCCAGATCCCTCTTGACCACCCGTGGTCGCATGGAGCTCTGTGTGCTGGTTCCCCAGGTGTCCGCATTCTGTTGCGGCAGGAAATGCACGATGACGGTTGGTCCGTGGAAGACCACTTGCTCGCCATTGCCCAACATGATTTTCTGATGCCACTCGCCAGTCTCCGCAGATCGCTTGTATTCCGATTCAAGTAGGGCGGCGGTATCCTCGGTGTAGGGTACGTACTTGGAGTCAACTCCCTTGTAGAACCAGGAGCAGCGCCGTACTTCGATGGCCTTTCCCTCCCAGTAAACGGGAGTCTTGGTGCGCTCCTTGATGTTCACATCGTAGCGGCCACCCTCCACGGGAATTATCAAAGAGGAATCGTCTGTAAGATCGAGTAACTCATGAGATAGTTTATAGAGTAAACGGAAAGTATAGACTTACCAAGGTTAAGACTGGTTTCCAGTAGGGCCGAATCATAGTGACTGAATGGTGTCCAGATAAACTTTGTGTCCACGCTGCGCTTGTAGAACCAATGGACCACTACTGGTGAGTAAGGCTACAAGGAAGAGGGGAAATAAATAAATCTGTCCATTATATATTCCTGGATTTATTAAACTTACTATAGCCACGGGAGGTGTGGCCACCTGACCCTTGTCGCTGTTGGCATTGGCCATTCTTAGCTCTCTAAGGATATCGTCGGGCAATTCGCCCAGGTGCTGCTGTAACAGATCCTCAACTGCTTGGCGCTCGCTTTGAGTTGGAGCTGGAGCGAGGGTCGAGAACTCGGAGCAGGCGGATGAGGGCGGCTCGACGAGATTGGAGACTGGCGTCTGCGATCGCTCCTGCAGCTGCTTCACAGCCACTCCACTGTGAACAATGTCGTACTTGAGTTCACCCGGTGCAGCGGGTTGATCCTGCAGTGGCGGATTGTTGAAGAAGTTCTGGATGCGCTGGTCCTCGTTGGCTTGTTGGATTTGTGACTGAGTCTGGGGCACCTGATCAAAGAAATTGACCGGATCGCAGTTTATAACTGGAGCAACAGGTGCTGCTACTGGCTCAGGTGCGACTGTAGGTGCCGGAGGGGCACTGGGGCCACCAAAATAGCCGGTGAAAGAGTTGACACTTGAATTTGGATAGGAATTTTCGTTTGAACTTGGCGCTTGGTCTTGCGCTTGCTGGGATTGGCTCAGCAACTCAAATCCGAGAGGAGCTGGGGCAGTACTTGAGTCACCAGCTTTCGTAGGTGGCTCTAGTGCCAGGGGTGGCGGTGCAATTCCCTGCTGGACTGGCAAATCCGGAAAAACGCCACCTGGACTCGCAAAGAAGTTAAAGTCCGCGGACGCAGCTGCTCCTGGTGCTGGGTCAAAGAAGCTCTGCAGGGGGGATGGGGCAAGTGGTGGATGGTTAAGTGTTTCGGCCTCGGTCTGCTGTGCGAAAAATCCAATTGGAGGTGGAACCAATTCCGGTCCAGATTTCTGAATCAAAGGCGTAGCTTTAGTTTGGGCAAATGGACTAAAGACCGTTTGAGTCTCGGTGTTGCTCTGGAACAGATTTGTAGTGCTGGCCTCTGGTGTTCCAAGGAAGGCAGGCGGAGCATCAACTAACTCAGCGGGAGTATCTTCCACAACAGGTTCGATAACAGGAGGACCAAAGAATGGAACTTCGCTGGATGCCGTTGACAAGTTAACGCTTTGATTGATTTCTGGTGGTGGTGCAGATAAATGTTCCTCTTGGGTCTGGATCTGCTTGGGTTCCTCTTTTGGTGATACTTGCTCCTCGATGGGCCGTGGTGTAAAAAGGTTTATTCCCGCTGTCCCTGTTGGCGGTGGTGCAAAGAATGGAATTCCTTGGGTCAATGAGGGTTCTTGGACCAGTTTTTCACTTTCTGAACTAGTGAAGAGAGCAGACTCCGTCGACGGTTGGGGAACAAAGAAGGAGTTGGCTGAGGATATTGGCGCAAACAAGGGATTTCCTTGAACAGATGGAGTTCCTTGGATCAGTGTTTCCAAAGCTGTCGAAGTTGCAACCGTATCGTTTGGTTTTGGATTAAAGAAAGTAATTCCTGAAGAGGATATTGTTGGTGCGGCGAAAATGGGTACCCTTGCAACAGGTTGATTAGCAATAGATGCTGCTGGCGGAGGAGCAACACTTGCGATTGAGGCTGCTGGCGGAGGAGCAACACTTGCGATTGGTGCTATTGGTGGAGGAGCAACACTTGCGATTGAGGCTGCTGGCGGAGGAGCAGCACTTGCGATTGATGCTGCTGGTGAAGGAGCAACACTTGCGATTGAGACTGCTGGCGGAGGAGCAGCACTTGCAATTGAGGCTGCTGACGGAGGTGCAGCACTTGTAATTGGAGCTGCTGACGGAGGAGCAACACTTGCAATTGATGCTACTGGCGGAGGAGCAGAACTTGCAGCTGGCGTAGGAGCAAAATTAGCAAAAGATGCTGCTGGTGGAGGGACAAGACTTGCAATTGATGCCGCTGGTTGAGGAGCAAAAATTGGAGTAACAGCTGGTGGCGGAGCGGTGAATCCTGGACCGATGTTAGGTATTTCGCCTATGGGGGGAACAGCGGGAGTGTACACTGGCTGTGTAACGAATGGAACTCCTTGGTTGCCTTGAGCCTCGTGTTGTGCCACTGAGTTAAGAGGTCCTGAAGCCGGTGCTCCGAACGGGTTGAAAATTGCCGGTGGTACAGATGTGGAAGGCAAAGGAGCGGCAAATCCGGAAGTTGCTGCAGTTTCCTGCGCCGTCAATGGACTCTTGTATAGGCGAGTGCCCTTTTGGAGCCTATATGATGCCTGTCCAGCGGCTGGCGGTGGAGCAGCTGCTACAGGCGGAGCTCCTGGCAAGGGATTGAGATTAGAAGCAGTTGGGGCAGTAGGAGGAATGGCTGCTGGGGGAAAGAACCCTGTTGATGGTACTCCTGGTGCGTTTACGCCTTGTGTTGCCGTTGATTTGGCAGCAGGAGGTGCTTCTCCTGGATTAAAGAATCCTCCTATAGCGGATGTTGGAGGAAGGCTTGGAGGTGGTGCTGCTGTTGCCGATACAGGTATTGTTGGAACCGCTGGTGGGGCAACAGGAGGAACAGCTTCTGGATTGAAAACAGAAGGAACCGAGGGCGGAACTCCCGGGGTGATTGTTCCCGATGCAGGTGTAAAGAATCCTCCAACTGCAGAACTTGGCGGGAGACTTGCTGGTGGTACTGCTGCTGCGTTTAAAGGAATTGATGGAACACCTTGTATGGAAACAGGTGGAGCTGCTCCTGGAGTGAAAACTGAAGGCGGAACTCCTGGGACTATTGATGTCGGTGCAGGACTAAAGAATGCACCAACAACTGGAGGTGCTGCTGCTGGTGGTGCTCCAGGCAATGGAACTGGTGGCGCAAAGAAAGTTCCCACAGCAGTGGGAGCTACTACCTCGGTTGAGGGTAGGGATGGAGCGGGACCAGGTACGAAATAGTTACCTCCCGGTGGTACTCCTGGATTTGAAACTCCAAATAGGTTTGCTGATGGAGCTGGTGGTCCGGTTGAAACGTCGAAGTAGCCTCCTGTTGGCTGAGGAGGACTGGTATATTCTGGCTCACTGCTTCGGCCGGTGGCGGATTGCACAAGTCCCGAGATGTTTTGCAGAACTCCCGTAGGCACAAGACTGGTCAGCGAGAACAGGCCACTTCCTGATTTGCGCTCTTCTACTGGAACTGGAGCTGGCTGAGCTGATATGTCAAAAGGAGCAGGATTTGCTGCGGGAGTCGGCTGTGGTGGATACGGTGGCGTCTGGAACGACGGAATCGCTTGAGGAGCCTGGGGAATCTGTGCACCTTGTCCGGATTGCTCTGATAATCCAGGAATGGGCGCGTATAGCTTCTTTCTGGCGGTGAATCGATAAGTGTTGGGATTTCCTGCTGCGGGCGGTGGACCAGGAACTCCTGCGGTCGGTGCCGGAATCTCAGTGGGTGCGTAGAACTTGGGTGGTTCGGGGGCGACCACTTCGTTCGCCGCCGCTGGAGGAGCTGCGTAGAAGGGAGCGGGTACTGGAGCTACTGGCTGAACGTAGCTGGCCTGCTGAATATATGTGGGCTGGATGTCCAATTTGGGCTCCTCCGAGGACTCCCTGCTGCCGGAATAGATTCGCTTCGAGAATGTGGAAAACACATTGGAGGCCACTGATGGCAGGGCGGTGAAGGAGGAGGCCGCCTGGCTCAGCAGCGAATCGTTGCCAGCTTCTTGAAGTGGTTCCAACAGGGGATTGGCGTTTTGATCGCCTGCTCCTTGATATGGACTCGATCCTCCAGCGCCAATTGAATCTTCGCTGCTGGTATTCAAGTTAATCTCGTCGAGCGCCTCGTTGTCGTCAATGCTGGATGGCTGGCCTACGGTAACCAATGTTTTGGGTTCTGAAAAGTAAACCAAAAATAAACAGGTCATTATTAGAGTAATGCTTAGATCTGTAACAAGGGAGATCTTCATTAGGTAAGGTTGATAGACCTCGAAAGTGGGACTAACTCCCCACTATCGTTCTAGCTTAAACATAAATCAAACCACAACAAAAATAGTTATTGTAATGAATGCAAATTGAAATCGACCGGCGGACAAACACAATTAAAAACGGAACCGATGCAAACGGGTTTACTTGGAATCGGACTTGGAGATTTAGATTAGGGGTTATGGAAAGACACACACCCGATGATTGAACTAAGCAAAGCACTAGCATTATTATCATTAACAAGCTTTTTAATCTTTTTCAATGATCTTTGCTAAATTGGAGATGATATATACATACATCCTTGATTATAATCGAATAAAAAACGTATTCTAATAAATTAATTTCATATATCATTCACTTTCCTAAAACAGCCTATCACTTTTAATCTTAAGTCTAAATCACAATTAGTTTCTAAAATCCTTGCACAGTTTTAAAAAACAATTTGAGAAGGTAAACCATTTCGAATAATTGCCCATTATTGCATCAACCTATGCCACTCGAATTGTTTCCGCCTTCAATTTAACTTGATATTGTTTTAATGGTTCAACGATTTGATTAAACCATAATAATCAGAAAAAACCATGGGGGAGAAGGCAGGCAAACAGGTCAGTTAACGTCTCGAAGCGAGCCAAATCCACACTCTAAATCCGAATCGGGTTTTTCTCTCTTGCATTCGGTGGGTGTCATAAAAAGCCAAATCTTGACATTAGCAGCACCAAATGCCATGGCATTTGTGGAAGAAGCTCTGCGATGCTGAGCGGTGAATGTGAAATGAAAGCATTTGCCCGCAAAACATGGCAAACGTGTCGTTTGGACAGCAAATACGTCAAAGAATTCACCTCGATCTTGAAACGTGATTGGATCCGAAGTGAGTATTTGCTGGCCAAAAGGTTTTCACACCTCGACTTGGGACTATTTTAAGAACTGCATTGTTCACATACTTAAAAGCGAGTTTGGAATTTTTGCCGCAGCTGCATAACCAGATTCCGAACCACAGACCAATGATTTAGAATAATGGCAAATTATGGGATTTAGAATGCGGACTTTGATACAGACCTGGTCTGAGGACTATGAAGATGCGTCCGGAATAGTCGGGTTCATTTAAATATCAGTGTTCCGTTTGACGGAGTAATTGGCATTAAGTTGTGAGCAATCAAGTCTATTAATCACTTTCATGAGTAAGTTATTAAGCCATTATATAGCATCCAATAAATATGCTAATATTGTAATGAGCGAATGGAAATAGTAGGGATTTGATAAGTGTATAAGAAAACCTATGGTTTCGATGGAAATATGGTAAGAGTCCCATTACTTATATTTGTAAACAATAATTGTATTAATCAGTTATTTACCATAACTAGATATCGACTGTAAGGAAACGTTTACTCATTACAACCTTCTGTTCTGTTTGAATTTGAATCACATGTTGGGTTTCACACTTTTGCTTTTAAGCTAATCTTTAATATTAGCTTACCCTTCAGGGATAATATAAATATATTTTTGTAAATACATATGTTTAGTCATTTTTCGAGCAACAATAAGAGATACAATAGTTAAAAGAATTGAAAAGCCAATTTAGATGATAAATGACTATATTAAAGAGTTTAAATTATTAGTATAATAAAATACTATTTAAATAAATATATATCATAGCACCTATAAAAATCAAGATTTGATTTATAGTGAAAAAAGAGTTAGTTTCCTCATTTTTTTTAATAGATGTCAAGTAAAAAAGCTACAAACTATTTTCTGTCGTATTTTTTCGCCACTTTAAAGCACTTGACATTGTCGACATTTTGTTGTCACTTTTAGGATCGCCATTTGTAACGGCTAGACAAAGATTAGCTATAGCAACTGCATGAGGTGGGGCTTGGAAAATATTAAATAACGACGAAAAATTCCAGTTTTCAGTTTGAGCTTTAGGTGGTTTTTGTGCTTTAATATTTACAAAAGCCCGCAATGACAATGACGCATTACGACAAATGTGTTAAAACAAATATAGACGCTTGGCTCGTCTAACCGCAAAGGTGGAAAATGTAGAACAGCATAATTCATTCAAATTGCCTCCCAAAACCAAAAAAACGCACATAATAAAGGGGAAGAATTTTTGTTATACTTTTGGGCATGACATCATAACCAGATTGCGGGCACTTAAGCGCTCAAAAGAAGAAGCCTCTGAAAGATCTTCAACTCCAACTTCGGGGTCCGTCTCTCTGTCCCAAGTGCCTGCACATAATGGCACTCAAATAAAACAATTAAGGCCCACATAAGCACGTCAAGCACGATGAAATCATTTGCAGGATACCCAAAGCATACAATACAACAACAAACAATGCCAGTATAAAGCTGCCCCAAAAAAAGATTGCCATCAATTTGGGAATTTAAACGCTGGCCAAAGGCTCGTGCAGGTCGCATGCCAAAAACGCGTCCCAAAAATCTCAAACAGTACAAAAAAAAAGGGTAAAAACAAAAACAGAAGACAGCAAAAATGTTTGGCATTGAACCCCCAGGCAAAAAAAAGAAAAGGAGGCCGAAATTAAATCAAAATAAATCTCAATAAAATGCGTGCTTTTTGGAAATTGTCCGACGCGCCAATGGCGATGAAGAAGCTGCTCGAGACGACGGCCAGTCTGCGTCTGCCAGCGGCTAAATAATATAAATAAACCCGGCACGACTGTCAATACTCTATCTTAAAGGTTATCCGCCTCGATTACAGCTTCGTTTGCAATACAAACACTACAAATCACATTTCTGCTTAGCCCACATTACTTAAATGCATTTGATCAAGTATAAACATAATGTTATGGACCTTCTCTATTAAAGATTTAAAATCTCTTTCAATTTAGATGGCTTATTTTTTCAGTATTCGATTCACGGCTGATCTTATCTTCTAGAGATCTCTTGACTTTCTTAAAAATATTTGACCGCGAATCGTCTATAATAATATCATACAATTCGCAATTATTTCCAGTCATAAAAGATTTTTCCAATTTTTTTTATAAAATGTATTTGCTCAAAAAAACCTGTTAATGTGAACATAATTTTTATATATGTTAAAATTTTGATTATTACATTTCGTTAGGTAAGTTACTTTACATTTTTATAAAAACTCTTAGACAATGAAAATTTTTATTATCTTAAAATTGATTTATATTCGATTAGCTACAAAACAATCAAGTACTCTTTTGGAGTGCTTAATTTCCAAAAAGGAATTTATTTTGCCGATCTATTGTTCGGGCCAATTTTTCTTCTATTTTTTCGGAGAACCTTATAATTTTTCCGCTCAATGTCCTAAGTTTATCCACAGTTTTGTGAAATAAATTAATCATAGTGTTTTCTAAATAGGTATGTGTGCGTGCTAGTTCATTTTTGGTATGCATTTTTTGATAGTCAATGAATTCAACGACGAACTGCATTTTTTCTTTCGGGGAAAAAATGCTTTTAGCGCGATCCAAACAACTTTGAAGAAATTCAACGTGGTAGGCGCAGTTTTCAGAATGCGATGCTCGATTAATGCTTTCTTCCAGGGATGTAATGACATTATTAAAAATATTTAACCACGAATCATCGGTATTAACATATCCCAAGAGCTCGCAATTATTATCCTCTTCCAAGGGAAAGCCAGTGATGAGGCTCTGGGGTTAAATATAGAATTAATAAATTTAATTTTTCTTCTGACAAATTCTTACCAACACATTGAGTGAACAAATTATTAGAGACAGACGCATCTTGCGACGCACTTAAAATAACTAATTGCCTATGGAAAACGTTGCGCCCTTTTATTGTGTAGACTTTGCACTCTCCTTAAGGGAATAAAAACTACCTGCACTTTATTTCGAACACTGATTGGCCGAACCCTCTAGAAAAAACCCTCATTGCAGGATGGATTAACAAAAGGCACCGAATTCATGTGAAAAGTGATCTGTAAATAATCCTCCAGTTTGGTACTGGTAATTCCGATCGTTATAAATTGGGCCATAAAAGAGATTTCTTTATATAAATATAAAAAACCTAGTCAATGCCAAATAACTTTTAGAATTTAACATTAATTAATTTAAATTGTTAATTTAAGTCACGGTACACTTTTTAAACGGAAATCGTGTCAGATACTGTAGCAGGAAAATCGAAAATCCAGATAAAGCATTTTTAATGGCATCCACATTCGTGTCAATTTGTGTCATTAAGTTATGATATTCGTTTTGATCGTTCACACTTTGACTCAATTCACGTGCATCGCTTGCCATCTTATCTAAGATACTGGAATACACAAAAGTTAGTGATCCCGCATTGTGAACGCATTAAGATATTTAAATTTGTCTGCCCAAGGACTTGAAGAGTTTAATGCATTTCCATGGGTTTGCTAATCTTGGAGAGATGTCACATATGGCTTACACGAAGGATATGAATTCGAAAAGAAGATTTTTGTATCTAAATTTGTTTTTGATGTAGTTCCCACCAAGACTCTTCTTCAACTTGAATTCTAATAAAATTTCTGACGAATTCGCAAAGGTTTTCCAAGTCCTTTTTCAAAGGATCGCTTCCAGCAGGTATCTGCGATTAACAGATAGTATTATATTTTATTTGCGAAAGTGTTACAAAATATCTGATCAGAAAGACCTGGCAAACAACGAAGAGATGGAAATACATTTTCTTTAGTATTTCAAAGAACTACATTTCCTCCACGTAAACACGCTGTTTCTAGGATTCTGTTGAGAGTCTATCACTATCGCACATTTATTTTATTAACTTAGTATATCTATATATATGGCATGGACCGTAGTTTATAAATTGTATGGAAAAAACAGTGCAAATGTTTGACATTAGAGCATCCATCTTGGTGGTTTTTTTATTTTTTAATAATATAATATTCTTAGCTCTCAACAAAATTGCGTTACCCTTTTAAGGAAGTGAATCATTCCAGGACGGACTAACAAAAGACTTAGGCAACAAACTCAGGTAGCCGAAAGTTCAGGTGAAAAAAGGTGATGGGTCTTGCATATTTTCAAAGGTATTTTTCGGGGTTTTTTCCCCGGGCTCTTAAGCAAACCCTTTCGGTTAGGGTTATGCTAATTGTGTCAGCCACCCAATGCCACACCCACTGACCCGTGACGCATCTGCCACAATCTCGCTTCCTCCGGGTAATTCCGATTGTGGATTCCTATGACTCTATATATCTTATCGATTGAGCGGCACGAGGTGTGGCTTTCCTTTTCAACTTTTATCTACATACATCCATTTGCAACCAATTGTTCAATATTTAAACAATTTATGAGCCACAAAAGCACACAAAATGTGGAAGTGCGACAAGTACAAAAAGGTCAGTAATTAGTGGAGTTTGTTTTAGTCGGTCGTCAGTCGTGCAGCGATCCACAGTTGCCTCAGTGAACTGAAACGCAGTGCAAGTGAAGTAATATTGAAAGTAATAAGGATAATAGTGAAGCCAAGTGTTCAGTGACATAAGACCAGGAATAACAACAAAAGCTGACACCGCCTTGCACCAATTCGTTCTTCGAGAGGCTCGTTTGGCTGCTGCTGCCACTGCGAAAACAAGTTGGTAATTTTTGATTAACACTCTTGGGACATGCGTACGTGTTTATATATTCATCATAAAGTTAAACCAGCCTCGGCTCCGATATGTGAACAGCAGCACAAACAAAATCACAGGCCGAGCAAGTGGCAAATGGAACGATAATCAAAAAAAATTCAACACAAAACGATTGCCAAATATTTAATTTGTTTTATTGAAAGGGTTTTTCTTTTGCGTTCGTTGCCGGAAAGTTGTTAATTGTAGCAATACCAGAAGGCAGAAGCAAATCGCCGTGGAAGGAGAGCAGCAAAATTGATTGCATAATTATAAACGAAAGCACAACAAAAGCGAAAAAATCGCAAAGTGAAAATTGCGTGAGCTGCATAAATTCTCGATGCAATAAATTTGTTTTCAAACTGTGGGGAACTCCTTAATACGCTCTTTCGACTTTTATACACCCTTTACGATTTTTCTTTTTATGTGAGGTAATAAATCATTCAATTTAATTACAAGCGGTACAATATTGATTATTTTTGGTTTCTACAACTTTATAAAAATAAAACACTTACCAAACGAGATTTTAGGCCAAGTACTCATAGTCCTCAGTAAAAACACACAACTAGTACTTAGTAACTCAACGCAGTGCGGCTATTCAAAGCCGAATATAGAGTGGTTCAATGGTTTCTGCCAAAGACCCCAGTATTAGGAAGCTTTCGACAGAGGCACGTAGGTCAAGATGGGCACGATTTCGCATGGGAAATACGTCAAGTCAAGCTCAAGACGCTCAACAATTTGTCATCCAAACTTGAAAGCACCAGAATCATTGTGCTCAAACGTCGTAGTTGTGTTAACACATTTGTTGAACAACCTAAGGTTCTGCGGGAATAACAATAAAACGTAGTTTTACAAGAGAAAACTTCTTGTTTGTGCCACACATTTTTCATACCCAAATGAATAGTTTTGTTTTATTCAACATTCTTGGTACTCACAGGTACTCACGCCTTTGGCAAAACTAATTTCTATGGAATTTGTAAGGCCCAGGTAATGAAAGCCGGCCTGCTAAACCCTTTATTACTCACAAAAAGAGATGAAGGAAGCCTCAACATTTCCGCATACAGTATTTAAATAAAGAAATATACACACATGGCCCACTATATATTTACGCGCCTGTATTTATTATGATTTTATTGATGCTATCAGCGACTGGCAGTCGGAGTTGTCATATTAAATTCATTTCACGCTCCATTTTAATGCGCCGGCCAGTCGGGTAGTCGAACTTCCTACACAAGTTCAGAGTCGGTCTGTTTTGCATGAATTTTGACGACCGCCGAGGCGATTACTTATTCAGTTTGCATGCGACCAATGCGGTTAATTTTCGCCATAATGGTTCCCTCAAAAAAAGGTCAACATGCAAAGAACTTTGCCAGAAAAAGTGGCAAAATTTAATAACTTTGAACTTGATAAAATAGGCTGTGTGACACTGTGTATCATGGTTATTTCAGCGATAAGATTTGAGTTTAGTTCAGCGACCCATTGACTTAGACATTGAGAGAATTGATAATAATGACCCATTATTATCTTTTAAAATAAAAGCAAGAATCTCTACAAAATCAGCGCAAAAATGTTACTGCACTTTATATTACTTATGTAAATATTTTACTTTATATTATTAGTATTGATGATAAGGTGTAATATATGTACAGAAAAATGCATTCTTTAAGAAATCCTATAAAAGCAGCGAATGCCTTGGAAAAAACACATTGAATTGTAAAGAATTGAGAAATGCTATTTCTCCGGAGCATTTTTTTCCTGGCATTGCTGGTGAGTATTTCTAGAATGACACAGCTACTCAGAAAGTAACCCTGGTTTAAATCAAAGGCATTTGCCAGGACTAATCCCGCAGAAAGAAAAAAGGCAGCAATTTGTGAGTTTTTCCAACACGTTCAGACGTTCCAAGATGATCAGTGGGAAGATTCGGTGATTCTAATGAAGAGACTTCTGGAGGAAATGATCACAGCTCTCTTGCCCTATCCTGAGTATGCAGATTACAAGGAAAGCATGCAGGCCTACCTTGATCGCGGAAAGAATATCGTTAAGTCAAGTTCATTGCAAGAAAAGATGGCCTATTTTGAAGGATTTAATGAGCGTGGCGGACAGCCAATGTTAACGGGGTATCCCGCCAAGAAACAAGAGCTTACAAGGCCCTTAAATAATTTCCAATCGAACATGATTTTCAATGTGTTAACAGAGTTTTACAACAAATTAATCAAAGCTGCAGGCGACCTGGAGCGAGTTGTACGCCTTTCAGATTACTCTTTAGAGGGGGATCTATTTAAACTGCTCGAGCAATATCGGTCGGAGGGCTTGGGAAGTTTGACTCAAAACATAGCTTCTCGTATTCTGTCATTAAAAGATCAATATCAATGTGCTTAGAAAGTAAAATTAAGCAATTATCAGTATATTTTAAACCAATAAAATGATTAGAATAATTTAATATACATATATGTATTAAATATAATAAATATTGCAATGTTCCATTTGTAAAGCATGTCTTTATATTTTTGGATTTAGCTAGTTAGATTTGGCTTTTATAGCTAGAGGAGTGATTACAGGTGAAATAACTTTTAAAACTTCCTTAATTATGAATTAGTTAACATATGTTAAGTTAAAGTTGGTAACCTTTTAAATAACAGACGGTTAGCTATCACTCTTAAAAATTCAGAATTAATTTTTATTTATGACACGAAAAATAACTATTACCAAAAGTAAAATCATTGAGATCCATCAACCCTTTTTAATTTTTTAAGCTTTTAGTAAGTGTGTATTCAACCCACAAGACTGTTTAGCTGATAGTAAGTAGAATGTTAATATTTACGACATATTAACATGATAAGATCTTGACATTTCAGCTGATATCACAGCATGTTTTGTGCTGAGAACGATATAGCACTGGTTGCATAACAGGTTGATGATACTATGGGAACAGAGTAGCCAACTGACCGAAGATATTTCCATGGCGCTGCCACCAAACAATCGTGTCATGAACATATCCAATTGTGGCATCAGCTCAGCTGCTCCAGCACGTTGCTTCGGTTTATCAGTGGCACGCTCTTCTAGATTCCGATTCCGAACTACTCTGTGGCCATATAGCTGCCCATAGCTATACCCATGCCCAAAGCTATATACCTGCCGAGTCGGCCGCGTAAAGAGAGCCGATCCGACGAGCTGATCAGAGCAGAGGTATAGGTATAGGTAGAGGTACTGGTAGATGTGGATGTGGAGTGGAAATGAGCAGCGAACTGCTCCGCTGGCCGCAGCTTGTGTTTCTGCTTTCAGTTTCATTTGAGACGTTGACGCGATCGCCAGCAAAAAAAACAGGCAGCTGCCAAAATCAAAGCCAACCAACTTCGAGTCGCGCATGAGAAATATATATTTTAAACGGGTTAATCCAATACACAGCCGAAAATCGAACGCTCTTAATTTTATAAACTTTTTTTCTTTCGCTCGTTTTCCCATTAAAGTCGAGCGTAAATTTCAGCTGCAAGTGAATTTCTGTGCGGTGTTGTTGTCGTGATTTGCATAATCTGCACGTTAATAAACAATGCAAAGAAGTGGGCAAAACTCATAAATAAAGTGCACCGCTTAAAGTGTAATTAAAATTCATTGAGATTTTTTTTCGTGCGCACAGCAAGGAGAAAAACAAGTTTGTTGCCTAAGTTATTTGTTTTGAATTTCGAAAATTCGCCAAAACATTTAATAATAAGTATTAAAAAAAAGCTGGAACGCTGTCTTGAGTCCAGGCCACGTCGACAAGAAGTTCCATAAAAGGCAAGTGCAAGAATAAATTAAAGCAGCTTTAGTTACAATATTTAAAAACAAATAATAAGTGTAGGAAATGAATAAATTGAAAGCAGAAAAATTAACTAAATAGATCCAATCAGGGAATAACAAAAGCAATCCGGAACACGTAAGAATAAAATGTGAATCAATTTAATTTCAATAGATTATTATGCAGCAATAAAAGTTTATACTTGGCTCAGACCAACGTTTAGTTCTACCAACTGAATCCCATTAGTTTTACGATTGTTAATTGTTGTTAGGTAAGCCTAGCCAAATAGAATTCTTCAAAGGGCTTTTAAAGCCCAAACAAAACAAACACAATCAATTGGGTTTTCAATGCCAAGAAAATCAACAATAAATGCGCGTGGGTTCTCTAAAGGGTCTGACCCCCCACCTCCCTAACTCAATGATCTCCACAAATATTCAACGCTGATGATCGTCAAATAAAGCTGCCACAATTAGAGTGCATTTCAAGTCGATTCAACTGACACGAAGGGGCTAGTCAGTGCGAAAGGGGCATAGAAACGCAATTTGAATTTATAATTTTCGCAATTATTTTTCATTAATTTGCTGTGGCCATAAAAACGGGCAGAATAACGTCCGAGTGATATAAAAATCATAGCGAAAATAAATGCTTACGCGTCTGTTAATCACATCTCGTCGTTTGACTCCACGTAATTGCAAAAGCTACAGCAAAAAAATTAAAGCGAAAAGAAATATGTAAATAAATAAAAACCGACAACGTGCTCGCCTCTCTAATTTGTTTATAGAACCTTTTTGTTGGCGCTGTGTATTTTTTGAGCCCCAGCGAATCAGCTGCTGACGGCTTTTGTGGCTGATTGATGAACTGCCCCAGCGGGTTTTGTTTTTCAGCTTTTTATCTAAGCACTTTTCCTTGATTACAAAGTAAAGTGCCTATAAAAAATGAAGAACCCCATTGAAGTTTGCACCGTTATGGCCCACTCTAATCACGCTTGAGTTTCAATCTTTAAGTACATTAGAAATAATGGAATGCATGGACTGTCAATCATTATATTATTACTTTACTGTGTGTTCGTGTTCTTCTATGAATTATCTATATTTTCAACGCTCAGTAATATTTATTTACATTTCTTGCCCCAAAATATAATGTTGCATATAAATAATCCTATAAGTTTTTACCTCGCTTTGGTTCCTAGTAAAAATCTATTTTCTGCCAAAACACTTTCTTTCCCCAAAAACTCTTGATTTCTTCGCAACTGAGGAGTTCCGCTTGGTCTGTATAAATCTTCCTAAGAATTACGTGACCTGCAGAGGCTGAAAATCTTAAAACCCCCACAGCATTAGCTCGAAGATTACTTATGAATGGGAATTGTGCAATGGTTTTTAACATTTAAGCCGATAAAAGCCAAGTATGGAAACAACAGGCGAACGTGTCTTTAACGAATTTATCATGGCAAAGTTTTATAAAAGAGAAAATCCGGACTGGGGAGACCTCCAGACCTCAAGAGAGGCCTATGCTCTGGTCATTAAATTGCATGTTCCCCCTCTGACCCCTAATCGAGTGACCTTGCAACGCACGAAAATGTACAAATCAATTTGAAGTTGATTCAGGCAGCCTGCCAAACGAGAAAAACGAACGCAGAATATTTTAACTTAATTTATTTCCATTTTACGCATCAATGCGATACTTTTGGATTTCGGCTTGAGTTAATATTTCATTTCGGTTTATTTTTTTTGTGGTTTTTGTTTTTTGCGGCTTTGCATATTGTTAATTAATGGCAGCTGCTCGTTTTTTTTTTGGAGGGGGCAAGACGCCCCTCCATTAAGCTCTTTTTACGCTGCACATCACGAGCCGAGAGCCAAGAAATCAATCACTCAAATTGATTTGTGGGTAATTTGTTATTCAAACAACTCAAACACAAAACGGCTGCAAAAATGCAACAAAAAGTTTAAATACACACAATGGCGAGTGCAAAGGAATATGGCATATCATAAAACCGTTTGCATGATGCCTTAACGAATGTGTTAATTGCATTTGCTTAATTAAATATTATAAATTGATCAAATTGAAGCCAAAGAGTTAGCGTGTTCCCTCCGGCTTAAATCAAGTTTAAACATTTATTTTTATTCACAAACGAATTCACATGTGTGAGTTTACACATCCACGAGAAGTCGTTTTTTTTCTTCTTTATAGCAAATTTGCTTTATTGTCAACGTCGTCTTCGTTTTCTGTGTTTCTATTTTCCTCACCTGCAGCAGGTTTAACAAAACCTTGACCATATCTTTGTATATATATTTTTAATACCCTACCCGGTTTTTTTCTCCAACGAGCTACTTGGACTTTTAGTTGATTTTCGGCCAAACTTTTCATCAGATACACGTACTAGCATTTTAGCTGTCTTTTATCTGTCTGTTTATATTAAGTGATTTGGATAAGTTCCAGGCATCAAGGCTTATTTTTACATAATTGCATGCTCATGAACATGACTTTTGCAAAATATTTTTGGCTCTACAAAAGAAACATGTTATTATTTTTATTTTAACCAAGTTACAAGGCATTTTTTTAAGTAACTCGATGGCATTTGATTTTTTTATCTTTCCGATACAACAAGTATTTTCAATTAATTACTAATATTGGAACCAGTTTTGAATTATTTTCTAACAAGGCAAGCAACAGATTATAGATCAGTTTTAATCTACCTAATTATCAAATCTTATTTTATACATTTCCTGACAGTTCTAGTTCTGGAGGTTGATGATTTTTCATATCTCTATATAATATTTAAAAACTTTCGAATTACAAAAGCAAATTTAGCATTTAATTTCCCAGAATTTCGTAGCTAAATGGAAATTTCCTCAAATCTCTGCTCTGGCAATTTGCTTTAAATGTTCGATTTGTCAGGCATAATTATTTAAAATGATTTTAATAACACGATAATAATCACAACGAGCAGTCACAACATTTCACTTTTTCACATTGCGAAAGTGTTGAAAAGAAGACAGACGGAAAAAAAATTAAACACCAAATCTATAGAAAAACTAAAAATAACGGTTCAACAAAAGTGAACTCGAAATAATCATGAATAATTGCGTCAATTAAGTAAGCGAAAGAAGTCAACCAATCAATCATCAATCATTGAACTCTCAAAAGCTTTCCAAAAATTGTATTTTGACATATTTTGTCCGATTATTTTGGTTGCAGACTTTGATGGTGACAAGTGCGGATTGCTAGAGGCAAATACTTATAAATCAAACGAAATGATTTTGAGAACGCGGCTTTGGCTGGGAGTGCTCCTGGTGGCGCTACTTCTAAGTCCCACAGTTTCTGCCGAGGATGAGGACTATGGCGGTGAAATGGTAGGTTCCAGCCTGGGAGGCGATGACATCTACGACCCGGCTCAACTCGATGCCGAGGTGGAAAAGGAGATGGAACAGCATCGGAATAGCCTGGAGGAGGATCAAACCGAAAGCCCCCAGACCATGGAGCAGGAAATGAGTACCATGAGGCCCATGGAGGGCAGGATAAACACAATGGCTCCCTATTCCGAGGAGAACACAGCCTCCGAAATGATGGAGGATGCTCCAACCCAGAACAGGGTGTCAAAGGTGGACAAACCCGCTAAAGATTACTATTACGAGGA